GCTTAATTCTAGGTATGTAGTGAGACTGACCATCCGTCAAACCAATATGGATAGAGAAATATTATCTTAACACCAAGAGGACAGCATGCAAAATGGTTTCGATCGTACCGGCTACTAAACTGTTCATTGAATTGCAGGTTCCGTTTATCTTATTGAAGCCTTCAAGGTCAATGAGGTGCTGCAAGGTCAGCTAATTGCATCGTTTCTACACTTTCTTAATTTTTTGTAAGTTTAACCACTTTTTCACAAATACTTTGCAATTTATTGAATGGTTTTTCGGCAAAGTTCAACAATGGCGTCCCAAGGGATGCGAACGCACGAGTGACCTTCAGCCAGCCAATCATAGAAATGGGGAATTTTAGCACGAAAAATGACGTATATTCACAAGAAAATGCATGAAAACACATTAAACGGATTATCTTTCTCTGACATCACTAAAAAATACGTCCCAGTTGCGATGAAGAGTATCAGTTGCTAAGTTGGACTAGTTTCTTTATACGTATTCACCAAAGTGACTGAAGATTGGCTGTTTTGTGAATTGTTCATCTCTCTCCCATTGCTGTGTAGTCCTCTCCAAAGCCCTCGGTTAAGTTACAATGGTTTCAGTGAGAGCATTAACGACTACATACAAAGAAAATGAGGATAATAAAACAAGTTGAAATAAACGACAAATCTATTCCTAATCGCAACCCTAGCCTTAATCCTGACCCTAACCCTAAGTTTCACGCTAGCCCCAACCTTAATCCTAACCCAAGTGACAATCCTTATCCAGCCGTAAATCTAACCCTAATCCCAATTATGACCATAACCCTAACCCCAATACTCGCCTTAACCCTAATCCTAACCCTAACGAGATGTTAACACATTGTCCAAACAGTAATTAAAAGAGTTATCTGGGTGGGACTTGCTCCTTATTTGATGAATAGGGTTGGTATTTCAGCTATGATAATGACAGGCACTGTTAGCCAACGACTAGCGTGCGTTCAAGGTCATTTGCGCGTTCGCACTCCTGGGACGCTATTCTTGTACTTCGCCGGTTTGTCAACTGTATAAGTACGTCAACCAACCCTATCCCAAGTGAGGAATGTATGAAATTTTGTGAGAACGTTTGCCTTTTTCCCAATTCAAAATGTTTTACTTGAGCAATTACAGCTAATATATATATATATATCTTGCAACATATATTTTTATTCAAGTGTTGTTATATTTATGATTAGGTAGTTTAAATCACTTTCCTTATGATGAATTAACTTATGAGGTTGTAATTACAAATATATATGTATACATTTGTAGCGCCTTATAAGGCGCTAGTCAGTTCATTTTATCACATTAATTAGTAAGTTTTGGACTAGGGTTCAGTAGTCTAACTCAATGCACATGCAACTTAGCTAAATCGTATTAAATATCACTCTGTCAGTAGAAATAACTATTGTCTTTAACAACATAAGTGATTCATTCATGTTGTAATTTTTTGTAAAGGATGCATCTGTATGCAGATGTTAGATATTCGTTTTTGTTTGACTGGAATCATATTGTTTCTTGTCGTTTCCACCTGAGAGAATCCTAACCACATATGAAAATTTTTAACACCTAGTTAGTTGCTTCAGAAAGCCCTGTACATATCATTCTAATCTACCAAATTCTACCACAGTCAAAGTCAGTGATGTTTTAAGCCAAGATGGAAACCAGAATCCAGTGATAGCTAGTAGACATACTGGGTATATTTGTATATAAATATACATGTACATATATTCACACTATTACCTCCAAAGCCTCAGGATGGTCGGGGGTGGGTGCCTTGCGCTGCGGGTTGGCCACCCCTCCGTACACCTCTTGAAATGCTCCCATATGACCGGCCGTCTTACATAACCTCTCCTGAGGAAGTCCTACTCACTGCCTTCACGTGGCAGTGATTTTCACCGAAGTGAGAGGGCAAAAGCGGATGCCAGGTGCTCTTCACCGGGCTGACTGTCCATTGGATGACAGTCTAGGGGAGATGGCTAAACCCTGATTTCAAACCTCCAACGACTGGCGTATGAAGCTCACGTATGGACAAAGGGCTTATTGGATGCCCTGAATGTCTGGCCCCATTCAAAAAGGCGTATGAACCGGACTCCGGTCACTGGCTGCCAATGGATAGTGGACTCCCTACTCCACTCCTGCTGCCTTGTAAGTCACACTTGGCTGTGTAAAGGCTAGAGCTGCACTCTCAAACAAAAGGCCGAGCGATTCTGGGGACATCACTCTTACCTAATTCCCACGAAACTCCATGAACTCTCTACAACATCAACCAAATTCCAGTACTGGTCCAACAACGTCGCCTTCGGTGGTTTGGCCATGTTCTGCGCCGACCAGATGACGATCTGGTCAAATCAGTTTTAAATCCCTCGCCATTTCCATCTTGGCGACGTCGCAGGGGTGGACAGCTGAAAACATGGCTTGGTACAGTCAAGGCTCATATGGAGTGCCATCTACGGACTCCGTCTGTGGAACAAGAATTGGATAACCCTGTCGCAAAACCTTGCATCAGATCGCCGCGCTTGGGCAGCGATGATTCGAGATGTTCATGAAGCCGGCTCATCCTCCCGTAGGAGATAGCCGAGGTAAAGTTAAAGTAAAAAATTCACACTTCTCTGCATTTCTCACCATAGGTTTTCTTTCCACTTCAGCTGAGAAAGTGTCTATAATTATAACTAGCGCAAATACACGACTCTGTAGAGGTTAAAAAAGCAGAGAACTCCACATGCGAAACCTCGCTTTGGAATGCTTGCAGGGGAAACAATAGTTCATGTTACCTATCTACTGTCAGTTTATTATGACCTCAAGACCAGCGTTTCTTGGTTTTTTAATAGTCCTGTAACTCTGGTGAAATGTGAAGGAATCGGCTTTGAAACTACTGGTACCACAGGATACTTCAGCTATATTTAGTATTAGCTGCAATACCTGACCATTATTCTTTCCGAAACTGAGACTTCCGAATTCATTTTGTCGTGATACAAGTTGTGTTCACTCTGTTCAGTTGCAGTTCATTTCATTATTAATGAACGGTTAACAGTTATTCAGCTTTGCCATGGAATACCATTTCCCTTTTGCAAGTAGCATGTTATAGTTGAGAAATTTTAACAGCTATGCCAATTCTACCTTGTACTTTGTTGAATTTACCAATAATCTGATTCTGGTGTACAACACTCACATTCCTTAGGACAATAGGATATCTTGCAGATGGCTTGTCACTTTTTACTTTGTACCCAAATAGTGAGCAGGAACTTCAGTATAATATATCATCTAGCGTCGTAATAAATCAAATTCTGCAGTTTTTATCATATTATTAGAAGCTGTTCAGCTCACTTTTTCTCTCCTTTTGGAGATCGAAAATGTTCTGCTTATGCGACGGTCTAAGTGAAATCTTATTTCTTTTGTAGTTACGCCACTATGAAAAAAATAAATGTATTACCTAGTAAATTTTTCTGAATGGTTTAATTTCGCCAAATATAAGCCTTGTCTACCGAAGTTCTAGAACGAGTTTTCTTTTCATTGATTGTTTGTTACTTTATTCAATTCATTGTGCAAGGACTGAGATACTGCCCGGGCGCCCAGACCGAAGCAGGTGGTTTTATTAAGGGACCACCTCCGAGCCTTTGACTTGGAGTCTAATCCGAAAGGCAGCGGAGCAGCGTCAGGAGCTAAATTCCCATGGTTGCCGGTGACCTATATGAGTTCATACGCCATTTGATCCGATTGGATACTGGAGCCCATGTACCCCATGGTAACTGCTTTTAGTTTAACCGCTTTCCAAACAACCTTCCTGACATGGTAGGACCTGCAGGCACAGAGTCCAAGTCAGTTTAGCATGTTGGATCAATACGGTATTCAAGTCCGACCACCACGACAAGGTAGCAGTTATCGGCCGGGGGCTTGGTTTTTATTCATTGGGAAATACAATAAGCTGTATTGTAGTAAATATCATATACCGAATGTCCAAATTTTTTTTCAAGCTGGTAAAGTAAACTTAGTTGTGAGGTCTATATCCAATATCCTGATGGTTACGTTTTGGAGCCAATGTAATTCAGATTGATTTCTTTATGCTCGCTTGTTGTTTGTAAGGGAAAGGTTCCTGCAGCATAGAGATAAATACGGAGACGTAAAATTTGATGTTGTTGTTGGAAAGCTAATAGCATTCTCTTGTCAGTAGAAATTGGTTTTCCATACTACCAACTCTGTTTTCATGATTTAAATCCATTTTGTTTTCAGAAGAGGTAGAAATGAAGAGGGACGGTAATTTAACTTCCACTGGGGGAATGTGTCTCATGACTTAGAAGAAAACTGAATGCATTTCCACAAAATTCCTCATGTCAAGTTAAATCATGGAAGATGATATATTTCATCTTAAAGCCACTGGGAATATTCCACACAATTGTTCGATTCAACCAGCGAAGCACTTAAGCCCATAGTGCCTTACTAAACAGGTAAACTGGGCCGTTCACTGGTTAAACAAGACTTCAAACTTCGTCGTATTAAGCTAAGGTCTTCTAGCATTGTGATGAAAAAAAGTAGTTGAAAACGGTGAAATGACCAAAACGTTTTATGTTAGGACTGTAGGTAAATTCCACACGTATCTGGATAGATTTTCAGGTAGCATTGAAGGCAAATTAAGTAGGCCCTTGCACAAAACTTCTCACAACCACAAACTCGCACAATGGTGATATCTCTGCCAGAACTAATATAATGTTATACGCCGCTGCAAGATTTATGTAGTGATTGAATATTTAGTACTCCAGAGTGAATATATTGTTGGTGAATAGAAGTATAACTCCCGGTGTTGTAAAGTCTTGTCTATGAGGAGAGTGCTTTGGAGGACTTTTTGACGACTGAAACATTTTCGTTCCAGAAGACCACAGTATTGTTTGTCATGTTATTGAGTTAAAGATGTTGTTTATGATCTCTTGCTATGGGTTCATGGACAATAATGACACTTATTTCTGTTTTTAGAGCTCTTTCAAATGATTCATTTCACTGACAGGTTAGTCAGTACTCCTAAACATTCTTTGCACATAGTGTAGTCACTATATGAGTTAAGTGCAGTTTCGATTAAATCATGTTAATATGCTTAATGAGATAAATAAATTTCCATCAGAGAGACTAACCATTGATATAAGAACAAAACTTGTCCACTACGGTAGAGTATAATTCCATTTCGAGCACAATTTATTGCTCATAATCATATCAAGGTGATATAATTATGTGCAATAAATTGTTTCGAAACGTCATCTGTAAATATTACTGTATAACACTGCTAGACTAACCACTACTTTTATCGTATCTAGAACAATATAATTTGATGTATTTTCGGAAATATGGGTGTTACATTGCAAAAGTGCACACTGTTTAAAGTGTTTAACAAAAGTATACTAGTAAATAGTCAGTCTGCGGTCAAATTTTGTTCACACTTAATGCAATTTTATTTTGAATTCTGTCCATGATTCACATGACTGGACAATGTTTTAAAGACGACGTGATTTATATATATATATATATATATAAAACAACCAAATCGCTACAGAAACTTCAACGAATAAATATATTAAAAATTCTAAAAACATAAGCAATAGCCTTACTTTTCGCTGGAATCGGGGAAGTGAAATGACGCAGGCTGGTGAAAGCCTTCGGGAAGCCAGTCAGCCGATGTGCCTTCTTTCGATGAAAGCAAAAGTAAGGATGGGTACCTGGAATGTTCGTACAATGTACGAAACTGGAAAGGCTGCCCAGATAGCCGCTGAAATGAGAAGGTACAGAATAGAAGTGTTGGGAATCTGCGAAAGCAGATGGAACGGAACTGGAAGGTGCCAACTACCTACTGGAGAGACAGTAATCTTTTCCGGCCACCCAGAGGACAACCATGAGCACACCGAGGGAGTGGCCATCATGATGTCACCAACAGCAGCCAAAGCTCTCATGCAGTGGGAACCAATCTCCTCCAGGATAATGACAGCCAGGTTCAACTCAAAAGGAAGGAAAGTTACAGTCATTCAATGCTATGCGCCTACAAACGTCTCAGAACAAGAGAAGAAGGAGGCGTTCTACAGACAACTACAAGCAATAATGGACAACGTCCCAAATGGCGATATCAAAATCCTGATGGGCGACATGAATGCGAAGCTGGGAGGAGACAACACAGGAAGAGAACTCACCATGGGTCGTGAGGCCCTCGGCGAAATGAACGACAATGGTGAACTCTTCTCAGACTTCTGCGCCTTCAATGATTTGGTGATTGGTGGTAGTGTGTTCAAACACAAGGATATACACAAGACGACATGGATTTCACCAGATGGAAACACCAAGAATCAAATAGACTTCATCTCAATTTCAAGAAAGTGGAGACGGAGCCTACTGGACACAAGGTCAAGGAGAGGAGCAGATGTGGGTTCAGACCACTATCTAGTAGAAGGGACTTTCAAGGTGAAACTAAAAGCCTCGAGGATAGCTGGGGATAGGCCACAATGCAAGTTCAACACTCAATTACTGAAGGACACAACCACAAAAGACACTTTCACTGCAACTGTCAGAGCAAAGCAGGAAACACTACGCGACATCACTGAAGAATCATGCGTGGAAGAACATTGGAAGTCTCTGAAGGCGATTCTCAACGAAACGTGTTCAACGGTTCTAGGAAGAAAGAAGAGACAAGACAAGGAATGGCTCTCAACGGACACTTGGAAATTAATAGAAGAGAGGAGAATGGTGAAAGAGAAAATGATTCAATGCAAGGACGGACAGGAGAAGGAGACGATGAGCTCAACTTACAAAGCACTGGACAAAGAAGTGAAGAAGAGTGCTAGGAAGGACAAAAGACGATTCTACGACAACCTGGCCACTGAAGCTGAGAAGGCAGCAGGCAAAAGGGACCTGAGGACACTATATCAGATAACCAAATCTCTATCCGGGAAGAGATCAACACAAGCGAAACCTATAAAAGACAGCCAAGGGAACCCAATTACCAAGGAAGAAAAACAGATTAAACAATGGGCGGATCACTTCAAAGGACTCTTGAACCGACCATCACCTGCAACCCGTCCAGAAATACCAACAACAGCGCGCACACAACTGCAAGTTGACACCAATCCTCCAACGAAAGCTGAAGTCTTGAATGCAATCAAACTTCTGAAAGCTGGAAAAACAGCCGGACCAGATGGAATACCCCCTGAAGCACTGAAAGCAGACCCAGAGACGACAGCAGACATGCTGACTCCATTATTGCAAAAGGTCTGGAAGGAGGGAAAGGTGCCTACTGACTGGAGGAAAGGTTACCTCGTGAAACTACCAAAGAAGGGCGACTTAGGCCTCACTCTGCAAGAACTGGCGAGGAATCATGCTCCTATCGACGCCAAGTAAAATCCTGAGTCGCATCATCCTGGAGAGATTAAAGGACGCACTGGAGACAGAACTCCGACCAGAACAAGCTGGATTCAGGAAAGGCAAATCATGTACTGACCAAATTGCAACTCTACGCATCATCATCACAGAACAAAGCATGGAATGGCAATCAAACCTCTACCTCAACTTTATAGACTTTGAGAAGGCCTTCGACAGCGTTGACCGTGAAGTAATTTGGAAATTACTCGAGTACTACGGCGTACCCCAAATATTCATCAACCTTATTCAACAGCTGTACGACAACGGCACATGTCAAGTGATCCACAACGGAAAACTCAGCGAGGCGTTTGGAGTAAACACAGGAGTCAGACAAGGGTGCTTATTATCACCAATGATATTCCTAATTGTGGTGGACTGACTGGATTATGCGTCAGACATAGTGGGAAACGAGAAGACAGGAATATCCTGGACCGACGTGAAGAACCTAGAAGACCTGGATTTCGCGCGTGGATGATTTATGTTTGATGTCACACACAATCGAAGACTTACAAGCGAAAACCGACAAACTGGTCGAAGAAGCAGCAAAGACAGGACTCCAGGTAAACATAGACAAGACGGAGGTTATGAAAATAACCAACCAACAACATCCAACGTCAATCACCATCAACGGGAGGGATTTGAAAGAGGTTACTTCATTCACACTTATCTAGGGAGCATTGTCTCAACTACAGGAGGAGCGGACGAGGATGTCAAATCGAGAATCGGGAAGGCGAGAAACACATTCATCAGCCTGAAATCAATCTGGAAATCTTCGTCACTCAGCATCACCAACAAAATTCGGATTTTCAATACAAACGTAAAGTCAGTTCTTCTATACGGATCAGAAACTTGGCGGGTCACAAAGAATATTTCCAAAAGGCTGCAGACCTTTATTAACAACTGTCTTCGCTCAATACTGAAGATCAGATGGCCGGAAAGAATCACCAACAAGGAATTATGGGAACAAACAAAGCAAGAACCAATCGCCCAACAAATATGCAGGAGAAAGTGGAGATGGATCGGACACTCGCTGAGGAGACCGCTGGGTGACATCGCGCGCCAAGCCCTCGAGTGGAACCCGAAAGGGAAGCGGCGTGTGGGACGTCCAAGGGTGACATGGAGGAGATCGTGTGAAGAGGAGTTGAAAGAATATGGATTAACATGGATGCAGGCGAAAAGTATAGCAGAAGACAGAAGAAAATGGAGACGTGCAGTTGAAGCCCTATGTTCCACTAGGAACCCAAGGGAGCAATAATAATATATATATATATATATATATATATATATATATGCCTTCGTTATTTTTATTTTGATTAACTTTCTTAGAGAAGTTCGGACCAGTTTGCCGAACGGAGCGTTGAAATGACCTATTCCAGTTTCTCTGAGATTTTCCAGACATAATTCTGAGATATATTTTATAAGCACTTGTTATATACTAGTTTCAAGATATGTGTATGCAGGGTATAATTGTATTTCGTGTGGATTTGCTTGCCGCTATTTCTCATCTAACTCTTTTTTTAACTTTTTCAGATTTTTGAGTTCTAATCAGACATATAGTGGAACGATGAGTGCACACTCTTGTTCATCTATATATGAATACCTTAAAAATGTTGGTGTTCATATGCTTGACGAACTATATACTCATCCTCCAACATGTTTAGTTGTCTTCAGGGAATTACCAGAATTATCAAAACATTTTGTTATGAGACTTTTATTTATTGAACAACCAATACCAAAGTCTATTGTCTCTGGATGGGTTGACAAAAGTTCCAGCACCTTACTGAACGATGCCTGTAAAGCTTTAACGGACTTAAGAATTTGGCACTCAGCCGATACTAATGTCTCTAGGGGTTCATGGTCTTTAAACAAAAAATACCAAGAATCTATTCGAATATCATTATTCGGAGGGTATGTTTTATTTTATTCTTGAATCAAATTATAGAGGAAAACCTTTACTTGGTGATTTAGGTGTTGTGACAAATGATAAGTACTCAAAAAGTGTTGAATTTTTAAAATCTTATGCGTCTGAGAGATGGGATGTAAGTTTTTTCCTTTAAAAAGACCGTGTAACCAAATCTGCTCAAATCAACAGGCTATACTTCATTTTATGGTAGGCTGTGAATCAGCAGAGATTGGAAATGTTGTCAAAGATGTACTCTTGCTATCTAATTTAATGAAATGGTATGTTCAGTGATAATAATAATTATGATACATATTTTCGCCATCTTAAATAACAGCGAAAGTAATGATACTCCAATCGGCATTACAAAGCATGGATTTCACTTTCTGTTGATGAGTAGACAATCTCAGGTGCTAGTTTTTATTCTGCATTATTTCGACTACTTGAAGGTAATTTAATTGTTGTTTACTCACCACCTCGTTTTTCTCAATTAACAGGAGAACAGTAAAAACCTGGTTGGCGCTTTACAGTTTGTTTTTCAGCTTAGTTTTTTGTGCCCCACTAAGGTAAGCTTGATTTGTTGTTTTAATTGTAAAGTGGAATATAATTTAGTTCAATAAGCAATCATATATTCATGTTATTGACCTTGAACTGTGTATGCTGTGTGGAAGAGGATGTGATTGCTTGTTACAAGTGGCCGACAATATAACAGGTGCTGTGGTCAATCCGAAGAGAAAGATATATTCACTTTAATTGTTACTAAAAGTCCAGCAGAAATTCTTACAAAATATAGTTAGGTGCTATTGATTTGCTATCTTTGCCTATATATCAACTGCTCTTTCACTTATATGATAAACTGTCTTCTCAAAGGTACTATGGAGTTATTGAAAACTTTTGCGCGTGTCCGCATTTGTTGAAATTTTAGAGATGGTGTAGATACTCCCTCTATCGTCATCCATCGCCACATTCTAACATATGCATACATTAAATTCACTTGGTTAACAGAAATCAGTGGGCTACACTTCCATAAGCATAAAAACTATGAACTGAATACATCTGAGTATTTATGTAGAAATGAGTTCTAAGAGTTATATACGTGTATCGTAGAAATTGTAGTTTTCTACGTTTTAGTTAATATTATATTTCTAATATGTTGTTAAAGGGATAGTATCCATTCCAAATTTCTCATAAACAGATATTTCTTCTTTTGGAAAATAAAGATACACTAACACAGATAGGATCACCTAGTAAAAGTCTGTCCATCATCTCACTGGCAGAATATTTTGGGAAATGTCCGATGCTACTCACTAGTAGTATATTTTATGGCGCAGCACTGGCTGTGTGATGTTGAACAGGTTTCTCAGGTGTAGGCGTAGCTATTATATTTCCGTAATATAATTAAATCGAAATTATGCCTACGCACTCCTTTACCTCGCTAAGCCAGAAATAATGCTGGTAAAGAGAAAAGGTTGGACATGAGGCTAGCAACCCCATCTTGTAAAAATAAACACTGCTACAGAAACTTCAAGCCGTATGTTCCACTGGGGAACGTGAAGGAAAAAAATGCCTACTAGAAGAAATAGTACTTCTGTGTAGTGCTTGGGTATTTTTGCGAGCTTGACTTTAACTCAACTGTCAAGTAAATTTGTCAACTGGTTGAAGCATCTCTACTACTGTAGTATCTTTGTGGATATTCAGTCAGCGCATTTGTTTCCATTGAGTAAAAAGCCAGTATTTTGGATAGGCATTAAACAGAAGTAGTTTATGAAATGTAGTGTTTATGGATTGTGTCCGCATGGTTTTCCGGCTCTTTGTTATTCCTACCAGCTAACAATATATAACGTATCTGATTATAAATTGTCTGTCAAATGATTATTCACCAACAGCATTAAATTCCTATCACCTTATGCGGCGAATGTACAGGATTCGCGAAATATCAGCATTTTGATTTCAACACTGTGGTTTAGTAATGGCGAACACACTTGTGAGAATTTTAAAAATAGAAAATAACCATCCATTCGACTACCGGTCGTTCTTTATTTAGTGTATGTTTATTTTGTAGTTTACTGAAGACTCAGTTTTCTGCAAACCTATTAACTGGAAGTAAACTCGAAATAATTTTCTATTCAGTAGTCATATAATTACTGATTTTTTGTCGTAATTGAAGTGCCATTTTAGTACTCAAAAACAATTTCATGTTTTTTAGAAAATTGCAGTATCATATGACACGAAACCGTCATATCACATAATTATTTGATACTTTTATGGATACTGGTACAGTGAGAGGGTGAAGTGTAAACTACATGTTTTGTATCATCATAAATTTCTTATAATAATCCCAGTGTATTTAAGGAAGAAATCAAAACAAGATTTTCCTGAACGTTTAGCTGTTTAAGCCACAGCTTCTTCAGCAGAAATACTCGGATTTTACTGACCATCAAAAATATATAGTCAAAAATTACATAAATTGAAGTGAGCTTCTTTTTACGTAATTTGATGGCCAATCAAATCCGAGTGATTCTGCTGAAGAAGCTGTGGCTTACACAGCTAAATGTTCGGGAAAATCTTGTTTTGATTCTGCTTAAACAGGCTGCGATTATTTTAAGTAATTTATAGTGATTCAGTCTGACTCGATGCTCAAATTATTCCAAGAAATTCGTAACATCTATGGTTCGGACATTTATAATCTTACATGTATTGTATCCTTTAAAAATCCACAAACTAGTCCACATGTGTTTCTATGTCGTTGTTAATTTGACTAAAATTCTCAAATGCTTGACACTGAATACTGATTGATTGAGGTGGTTAGTTGCATATCATTCACACCACCCAGTAGTGGTCGCTAACCAAAAAAGGTGGTCTAAACACCGATCGGCCGTTTCGTACGTTTGGGACCAAGCTTACCAATGGTAGGCCTTCAGCTTAGAGAGCTAGCTACTTAGACCGACTGGTAATACCTTTCAAATCAAAGTCTCTTGCGTTAAAGCTAAAGAAAATTCATTCTGCGGATTAAAAATAGAAATACAAAAGGCCGACTAATTCACTTAAAGACCTAGTTATACGTCATTAGCTTGTATGTTCACTTTAGTGTACAGATACATCATTCACGTTGACACTCTTCGAAGTGTCTTATGTGGTAATGGCATAGTACGCCTGTGTTTGGTCATAAATGTTTGTTTTAATTTTGAATAGACTAAACTGAAGCACGTGTTTATTCTAAAGTATGTCGGTCTAATAATTTATTGTCTTCTTAGTTGCTTTAGGATAAATGTTGTTTAAAAGAATTCCAAAGATTTCAATACCCTTTAACTAATGTGGAATAACTTTGCATAAATAATTAGTGTGGCTCATAATTCCCAGCATGCCACCATACTACTTAAATGCAATCAGAATACCTTATTCTATTTTCATTGTTAAGGTCTTCCTTGTGTGTATCATTTAATCAAAAATTGCACTGGAGAAGTTACCAATTTCCCCTGTCTACAGAGATAAAAAGACTGAATACTTCATTCTAAGTGGATACCTGGTTGGAGTTGTGCAACAGGAACATAATTAAGATTTAAGCGGTGATGTTGGTTCAGTAATGTTTTGTTTTCTATCGATGCGTAGTTAATTTGCTTTTTCCCTATCATTTAGGCAAAAAACGAAGACTTCTTGTTGTACGTAAAATTTAATGGTTTTCTATCGATGCCACAGTGGATTCCTTTGCAGAAGACAACAGAAAAATCACAAAAAGTAAAAAAAGAGGAGATAACATTCAGTTCTATAGTTAGATCAGCTTTCTAAAAATATATGAATGTCTTCATAGTATATTTTACAGCTTTCATGTGGAATAGAGAATTTTATAGAAATCTAACTTCATCATCAGTAATTTAAATCTCTCCAAGAAGGCTCATCAAACTTTAGTATTTCCAAATGGTTCCGGTGTTGTTTCAAACGAATCTTTATTATCCTTTTATTTGACTGAGTTTTCATCTGAGTAGTAGATTCAAGTGCGTCGGTGGCACAGTGTTTAGGACTCTCGCCGACCATGCACATGGTCCGAGGTTCGATCCCCTGCCGACGCAGACCTGGTATCTATGGTCGGCCTGCAAGATTTGGGCTACCGATATCCATGCTGAAAATTCCATACTTGTGCCAAAAACACAGTGTAAAATAAAGCCGTAATCAAAAAATAAAAAAAATAAAAAGTTGTCTTTGTAAATTTTCTGAAAACATTCTTGTTAATCTTTGGAATTTATGATGAGTTTGATTACTTTTTCTGTCCCTCAAATGATGATATGACATTGTGTAATTATATGAATGCTCCATTTTCTCAAGCAATATATATATATATATATATACATGTAATCACTATTCCGTTAACTTTTTGTAGTGTTATCCAGTAGACGCATTGACTACTGCTCAGCAAGAAGTTTTGCAACATATGCGTGAACTTGGTCTAGCATACCAACGAAAGCGCACAGCACTTCATTTCTATGTAACCCCTCTTGCTCTTGACGTAGCTGGAGGTCATACTAATTTCTTGGAGAGTAAATCAGGAGGATGGGGTCCACAATTGGGTGTCATTCCGACAGGAGTATCGAAGTCTAGTTCATCAGAAACCAATAATGTTTTCTCCCAATTATCAACGTCTAGTTCTTCTGACGTGGGTTACATTTTGTTAGAAACTAATTTCCGACTTTACGCTTATACGGGTAAGTTCTAAATATATTTCAGCATAGCTACTTGTGGACTTAATCTTTACTACTATACCCTGTTATCCAAGTAGTCATGTTGATTCGACTTGGTTATTTTATTTAAATTGCTATACAATATTTTACGTCAATCTGCTACTTTCACTGGAACTAGTTTGTAGTCATTAAGATATGGAACAAACTTCTTTGATGAATAAGATATGAAATGTTTGTAAAAACTTGTAACTGTGGTATCTGCATTGCTCTAAACAGATGGCTTATCTTGGATAAACATTTCGTCCATTTGGGAACTGGTCATCTTGATGCACCCACATCTCCTGTAAGTGTTCCCAGTGAGTATTTCAGTTCAATATAATCAATCAGCAGGAAATGCAAACTCACCTATTGTACGAAGATAACTTATCACTTCATTGAGTAGTTGTGTGATTGTGGTAACTGGAGAAAAAGTGACTAAGTTATTTGCTTGAAAGCAAAGAAATTTCGATGACTAGAATATCATGTGTGTAAGTGATGTTAGTAGATGGAGCAGTATCCACTTGATTAGACACTATTAAGTTACTCATTATTTTCAGTATATAACTTTAGAAAAATATTAGCAGGTTGAAGGCTAAGAACTTACTTTTCTAACTTTTATCTGGGCTATTTATCTGTGATGTTTGCTGTACAATGATACAGTACATATCTCAGGTAGGACCAAATATCTAAATCTTCATTGGTTTGGTGACTTGCATTAACTATTAACAAGAATATAAATAATGCTAGTTAACTAAAATTGAAGCTTAGTAAGTAAGTCTAAAATAGGCATCTATTGATACAATGGTATAAGTTCTTAATTTCATATTTTTTTGCGGCGGGGGGTGGAAGGGTTAAATTTTTTCTTACAAATCATTTTTTGCCTTTACTTAGACGTTGGTTACGCTTGGTTGATGTAATTCTGATACGGGTACTAGAAATACTACTCACCTTCACTACTTTTTATGAAAATCTTATGACAATAGTCTTTACTTCGAGCTAAAAATCTTTCCTTTGCTCAAACTCTGTGTGCATTTACCTTTTGGTCAGGCGTTTGCTATTTACTGGTGCGCTGATTACAACATCGTGGTATCGTCTTCCTACCTATATGTAGTGTATAATTGTGGATTTCTTTTAAGAAGTCCTGGGTGATAATTCGCATTCTAATTGCGGACTAGTTAAATCAAACGTTTGAGTTACGCGTAAAAAACGTAACATAGCATTTGTTTAAAATACACACTACTCGAGCGTTTGGTTTAATTAATCGAAAGTACTGTTGTAAATTATTGTTCTGAATCTGTAGTGTTCACATTTTCACGTGCCGAGTCTGAATGTTATCAAAAGTACGTTGACAGAAAAAGCAGCAGGAGCTATATCAAGAAATGATTGCGGAAGGCCAAATAGAATGTTAACTGAAATGAATTTCAAGGGAAATCAGTAATGAGGTTTGGAGAGTAACGAGAAAACAACGTACAAATCTATACTACTTACTAGTAATAAGTAGTTTAAAAATAAGCAGTATAACGATCAGATACGATAATTAACAATAATATTCCATTTAAGAAATTATAATTGAAGGATTTATGTTTTTTTATTGGTATTTGTAAATAAAGATAAATTGAAAATGCTTAGTCGAAGTCAATTTTCTTATGAGTGGAGACTGTCAATTGTACTTCTAAGTTTTTGTTGTCATTTTTGAACTGAATTCTTTGACCTGTTTTGGTATTTTGGCTTCCTAAACCGCATTGCCTATTTCCAGTAGAGTTCATTAGTGGGTATGAGGCAAAAAAGTCGAATATGAAACGGATAATAATACTCGGTTTATTCATCCTTTCGGATTATGAGTGAAACATAGTGTTTCAGAAGCGCATGGCTATTTCACTCGGTTCTCAGCAGTCCTTTTTTAGTTGGCTTCACATTTGGTCACAATCTTTCACTTCCTTCCCACACAATCTCCTCTATGTCAATCTTGAACGCCCAACTCGTAGTTTCCAATATGGGTGACACTCGAGTGCTTGGCGAGTGATGTCATTCAGTGGTCTCCTCAGCTTGTGTCCGATCTCCATTTTTTTGGCGTATTTGTTGAGTAGTATGTTCTTGGCAGCTTCTATACCATAGCTCCTTGTTGCTAATCCCTTCTGGCCTTCTGATCTGTAATATAGAGCCATCCAAAGCAACTTTGGATGAAAGTCTGTAGTAGCCTGCCGGAAACTCTTGTCATAACGCGCCAAATCTCTGAACCATATAGAGGTAACTTAGTCAGTTAGTTGAACATAATGAAAGCAACAACTTATGTTTTACTGTTTGACCAAGACAACTGTAGATCTGTGGCTTATTAGATTGTGAACTTGACTTCCACCTATTAAACCCCGTTTCAGTTGCCGAAGTTTGGGCAGATAGTATCATTATTCGTCAAAAAGTAGATATGGCTTATTATCAACTGCATCGAAAGTTGATTGAATAAGGACACAGTAATGATGAAACTCAGCATATGAACTTCTGCGATTAGTCAGATAAAGGCATAACTTTTCAGAAAAGAAATTCACAATCAGCAAATCAACTCAGACTAACACTTATCGTGATATTTGTGTTAAGTATTGTCTTAATTATTTTTCAGTGGATCTCATAAAACCTTAACGACAAGATAATTTGTGTAGCATGTGCAAAATCTTTCAATGAACACTTTCTTACCTGCTCATATTGATCGATATACCTTACAAAGAATTGTAATAATGTTGAAAGTTAGTCTTCGTGTACCCCTTGTTATATCATGACACAAGAATGACAAATAGCTTTTCTTATTCACTCGAAATACTATTTGCATCTTTTTAATTTGTATAATTTCCCTTCTAAGGGTGAAGTATTTTATAGTGAGAAAGTAAGCAAATACGTAGTCACTTATTTCCTTATTCTTCTTCTGGTATTCATTACGTAATATGAAGTTTTTTGAGCCTGAAAGAAAGATTCCATCATGCATATTATGTTCAACCTTTCCTATTTGAATAATAAAAAAGTAAATAATTTTTTCTTGAAGTTTCTGTAGCAGTGTTTATTTTTATAGGATGGGGTTGCTAGCCTCATGCCCAACCTTTCCTCTTTAGCAGTCTCATTATGAGTTTAGCGAGGTAAAGGAGTGCGTCGGCCGGGAATCGAACCCCGGACCATGAGCATGGTCGGCGAGCATTCTAACCGCTGTGCCACCGACGCACTTTCCTATTTGAAGCAAAGCCGAATTCAGCAAAGATGCCTTTCTTTATATTCAAAAGCTTTACAATTGTATTAACATTTACTTACGTGCACAACAGTGTATATACGAATAATAGAAGGTGGTGGCAGGTTGTATCATTAACACGGTGATCCAGAATTTTTCGTTTTTTTCACCTACTGTCTTAGATAAAATCCTCCCCTTTTATATAATCTGAATCTGAAGTTTGTGATTCTCTATCCTGTTAATTGTTTTGAGTAAGTGATTAGCGGAGTCAGTTGATAATGAAACTATTTCAACTGATGGTTCATTCAGTGCAATTTCAAAACTATAGTAGTCAGTCAATTGATCTTAATTGATTGTTTCAGTTATTCGTCTAGTCAACTATATGCGTCAGACATAATTTTTATCTTGCTAAAATTTCAGTAATTCTTCTCATTCTCATATGTTAGTAGCCTACCTACTGCTACTAAATACGGTGAATAGTTATCTTTTTGTATCAGACTGACCCATATACCTAATAGTAAGTCTTTTTTCTAATTATCTGTAATGTTGGGTAATATAACGTACTTTCTGCTTTCCAGCTGGAGTTCAAACGAGCTCACTTCAAAATAGGAAAGGAAATGAGCGAAAGTGTATAAAAAAAAGAATAATCACATAAAAATTAATAGACAGAGAAAATTCTTTTCGACTAACGATACGTGAGGTTTAAGTCAAGTCCTCGGGACGGTAAAAATCTATGGTTGGAAACAATTGGTGACATGGCTCAAAACCGTTCTCAGTGGCGCAGATGCATCCACTCCCTGTGACTTATGATCTCCAATAAAACAGTTTTGTATTTCTTTATTACTCCTTTGTCTCACACCTCTGCTCACTGTTTCTATTATGCTTTTCTTGTACTTTCTTCTCTTGCTTCGCGTGCTACAAGGAGGTAGTGTGGCGACTTGAACTTCCGCACATTTGTGCAAAGTTCTATGTCGAAAACAGACAGACAAGTGAGACTTTGCCTTAAGTAGCCTACACTGTTTCTCAGTGCGTGTAGAAATTATCGTTTCTGTAAGTAAATGTTAACATAATGGTTTCTCGAGTAATTAATTAAATCATTGTTCGTCCAATTTTGTTTGTTTTCCTAGATTCACCACTTCGTACAGCTCTTCTTAGTTTATTCAGTAAAATACGAGCACGATTTCCAAATTTTGTTGTTGCTGATATCACCCGTGATTCAGTTCGTGAAGCATTGATTCGAGGTATAAGTGCAAACCAGGTAATATGCAACAATTCACCTAGTTACTAATTATTAAATTCTCTCAACAGATTTTATCTTTCCTGACAGCTAATGCACATCCAGATATGTTGGTCAAGGTAAGTGGCAACTCGTTATTTTTTCCCTCTATTATGTTAGATGTGTCTTGATCAAGAAAAATTATACATTTAGCAGTATCTGTTATCTATTAGAATTTTCCTGTAATCATCCGTCATTCAAATGTGTTGTATCGGTTATTTCATGCTATTCTCTAAAAATTTTAATCTAGATACTATACTAGTAAGAAAGCTTTTCATTTAAACTTTGCAGTTGTTGAATGCGAGTTACTGCTCCCCGGTGTACATTAATTTTGATTACTAAGTTAAAGACTAAAGTGATTGGATATGTCGATCGCTTCACCTTTATTCTGGGTTTCATTAGTCTTACTAGTTTGATTTCTAACCGAATTCTTAAGGGAAATCCTCAAATATAACACTTATATGACATTTTCTATCTTGCACTATCTCCCTAACTTTCTCTCATAAGGAGGCATTTCTCTGCTTCTATAAAAAGTAAAAGGCATAAAGAGATTGTAGGTTTTTATTTATAGGCGTCTTAAGGGTGTAAAAGTTTTTAAATCTTTATCCTAACCATTTACTGTTCTTTTATTATTTTAATAAGACGCTGTTACTTATACTTTTTTCGTTCACTCCATCTTTGCGTACTTTTTAAAACGATTTCCCTGTAACAGTGATAAATTTTATTGTTGTATTCCATGTTAACACTGTGTCTCTGTATCATGAAATTCAAGCTGTGACTTCTTCGCTGTGCAGCTAGATGTGTTACAAATACTTTTACTTAAATTTTTCGACCGCCTCCTATTATCAAATTAAAAGCATAGAATAACCACTGGGGGCTAGCAACCATCTTCTTGAAGTATTCATTTATGATTTCCGTTAGTTAGTCAGTAAATACACTGCATAGTTGATTGCTTTAAGGATTAACCTTTCAACTGGTCATTTGTAGACGGTAATCCCACTTTTTCTATTAATGTGTGAGTTGGTAGACTGTATTAGTAGTTAACACACACTACAGATGAATCTCATAAAGTGGTGCATGAATCATTGGTCTACGATGGTTAAGTTTCAAATTATACAAACAATTGATTTCTATGAATACTGGATTTCATTACTTGATATTAATTATTAGACAGTAGCTGTTTACTTTGTTTAATTAATTTACACCCTATTGTAAATGATACAGTCTTGTTTTCCAGTAAAAGTACACTTAAACAAGAAGTTTGAAACAAATCCACCTGTTATCTGATTTATGTTATTAACTTAGTCTGGTAAAGTGAAGTATATTCATTTTTAAACATGAATTAAATAGTGTGCAGTAATTCTAAAGTCAGATAGATAACAAAGGTGACAGATACTGACTAAGTGACTGGGAATTTTGCACAAACGTACAGCAGTCCAAGTTACAACGCTCTATGTGACAAATAAAGGTAGTCGAAAAAATTCAGGGAATCTAAAATGAATGGAAACGTATGGGAGGCAGAATAAGTAAGTGCATAATAATGTGAATCTGATGAATCTAAGAGTCCATAAAGAGTTAATGCACCTGTGCCATTTGGAACGGTTTTCAGTCATATCACCAACAGTCTCCAGCCATTGGTTCTTAGCCTCCTGAGAACCCACGCTGTCCATGCCTCCTTACTTGGCTGAATGTAGCAGTCAAAAACTTAATAGATTGATACGATGCTTTGATCTGATAATCCCTAGCTATATTCCAGCCTCATATTGTATTGGCTAATTTTGTTAGACAACAAAGGTAGTGGTTTGACACTTGCATCAGGTACCCTAGCCTCTCAGTCGATACAGCTTCACCGCGTTATCGACCGATTTTCTCTCTTTACATAACACTACACCTTACCACAATATTTTTCAATATTTTATACCACTTGACACGAGAGACGGAATGTAAACATCTTCAGTTCTCCCGTTTTCAAACCTCACGTCCCACATTCATAAAGAAGAACACAGCTAACTTCTACTCAGTGCACATGCCGTTGGATTGACAACCGTATATCGCGTTTGGCAAATGTCTCACAAGCCTTTTATATCCGCGATTACATTTTGTCTTCAATCAGTCCATTAGGTATGATGTCTCTCCCAAGTAAGTGAAGTGGTCAAAACGCTAACAGATCTTGTTACACTATGCTTCATCATTCTTGGCATGGCGACTCCTATATGGTCTGTCGAAAATTTTGATATGACCGTTAATACACTTTTAGTTGCTCTAACGAATTTCCTACCTAGTCGATTCGCAAGCCTATTGTTCTAAACACTATTAGCAACAACAACAGCGCAATACCATACCACTGAAAACGCGACGCAAGAAGAGAAGCGTGAGAGCTTTCACTGTCTCATATCGACAATGAAAATGATGAGCAGCGCTAGCGTATGTATCCGCTTTAAAATGGTCGTAAGAGACACTCATGACATTGACTAACTAAAACAGTCAACAATCAATAAGATTTCAGAGGTCATAAGTAGGGTGAGAGAAAATTAGGTCATAAATCAGTGAGTGTAGTGACTGAGAATGCAAACAGACATGTAGAAAACTAGGTCTATATATTAGACACCTAGTACGGACATTTCGATGACGTCTGAAGGTTGACTAGGCGTCGAATCCAGGACGCGCATTTCGTCCTATTAGGGACTCTTCAACCGATGTACGTGCACCCCCTTTGACTGGTGATGTTCTCATTGGAATACGAACCCAGCATCCATCGTTTCAAACACCAAAGTATTATCCACTGGTTCCTCGGACGGAGTTCGTGCCCTGGATTCCACTGCTGGTCATCACTAACCAAAATAACATGATGGTAATCTTCATAATCAATCAACGTGAAATGCAAATTGACGTAAATGATGTTTTTTGGATGTCCGCTGAATGTAAATAACTTAATTTATCACAATTTAAGTTCGTTAATCCTTGATTTCGAAGGTTTCTCGAATCAAATCACAAATTGGCTTCAGTATTCTCACCTCTACGGATAAACACTCTTAATAATTTCACTGAAGAAATCATGGAATTCTTCCGTTTGTTACTACGATCGATATTTTTGCATAAAGGAGGAATCAGTAGATTTAATTAAAGCATGTATTTCTTAGGCAAATAAATCAACAGTATTAAAGCTTCTTAAGACGTACGAATTAGTGTTTCGGACAATCAGCTGTCGATTCTTAATTAACATTTCAATACACTGAGATAAATATGAGACCAATAGGTAGTATTATCTGCGTGTCAAGCTCTAGATGAATTTTAAAGTCTATTGTTGGCCACTGGATTAAGCACTCAGTTTTCAAACAATGCCTCACAGCCCTTATGCTACAGTTATAGCTGGTTGTTCAGTGCACAAACGGCCCACTACAAATTTAAAGAGATATAGTTACAAATACAATAAATATGGGAATAGTTTAAACGCACTTGTCATAGAATAATTATATTTTTCAAGCGATAAATTTTATTATGCTTTGTCAATCATTTCTCATTTTTTCCTCTCTTTGCTTATGTAGATGCCTGTCCTACCGCCTACATTAACAGATCAAATTCGTCTATGGGAAATGGAACGAAATCGATTTGTATTTCAAGAAGGGTGCCTATATGAACAATTCTCGCGGAATACGGATTTTGAAATGGTTCGAGATTATGCCAAAGTAATTAGTGTTATTAAGGATTTTATCGTCCTCTCTAAAACTTCTTTTTCCTTCTTAGAGTGTTGGAGTTTTACTCTGGGAGAATCCTGAACGAAGAATAATGGTTGTATCTAAAGCAGGCCATGAAGATGTACGGAAATTTTGGAAAAACAAACGTCCTTCTTAGGATCATGTCAAATTTTACATGCTGCTGCAATATATCAAATTTCAGATGTATTATATGTATATATGTAAAGATTAGTACTTGTTAATTATTCAAAATTCTGCAGTCTTTAGTATTTATTTGTACTTCTCAGAATGTCAATAAATAAAAATTCTCTTGTGATTCTTCATTACGTGTACTCAGAAATCTAAGAATTATTGGATAAGTTGATGATACAGTTGTCACTCTATGGGGTAGTCCGTACCCTAGATCTTTTGGATATTACCCATTCTCTCGTCAAATGTACGTTAGGAAGTTAAAGCATTAGAAAATGTCAGGATTTTAGGTCTTCAGTTATTCATATCCTAAAGTCAGTTGTGATCCCATTAGTTCATTGATAAAGTCTTTGACCGCAGTACTGGGTGACGTGAGATCGAATCTCATTGGAGCCATCAGTTTTCAGAGATTGTGCAATACGCTTTGCTGACGAGCACCGACCCTATCTCCGGGGCTTTCAATTGTTCCCAACTGTCTAGCATCAAACCTTGCAGTTATCTGGTTGCTTTTACGAGAGGAATTAAACTCACGGCAAAAGTGAAGTATACTATCCCAAACGAATGACCAACCAAATGCATTTGAACAACTAGTCAGGTCATTCGCATATGGAGAGACGGGTCTATTATTACGAATTCCCCAACGTTCTGTGATACCTGGAACACGCACGAATGAGTAGGTTGCAAACAGCTGTCATCATTCAGCCATAGTCAATACACCATGGATCATTCTTCTGCTCATGATGATCCATTAGGACGCACACCAATCAGCCAGACTGACCTTACCAACTTCATGAGTATATATTACTGTATAACATTGTGACACTATCAAAGTCAGACTCAGTACTATTCACAGTGCCCCGAATAAGCCTTTGCAGACCATAGAACACCTACACTGTGTTTTGATAAGAATCAAGGGTTAGATTCATGTTTGGAAATGATAAGATTTCGAACCTTTTCCTCTTTAATATTAACGCGTTTTGATAGGAAAGCGCAAGAGACAAACATGTTAAAAAAGTGTCTTCTGAGGTTCTCAATGAATTAAGTGAATAGACCTGACTGTTCGAGCCCACGCCGGCGCACACCTGATATCTATGGTCGGCCTGCAAAATTTGGGCTACCGATATCCATGCTGAAAATTCCATACTTGTACCAAAAATACAGTGTGGAATCAAGCTGTAAATCAAAAAAAAAAAATTAATAGGTTTTGTTGGTTTCATTCTGCGTTATACAATGTGTTGTGATCCCCCTTACTTCCAACTAGGTGTATCTACATGTCTCCAAAAACTCAAAGTATAGTGTAAACTGATCAGAGAGAGAGTAATTAATGCTTCTATATCTTAAAATAAATATAGAACTTACGAGTTGAATGAATGTTAACGTGACTTCTTGCACAAATCTAGTTTCTAATATGCATGGGACGTCAAAGACAACATAGGCGGGCTGCTTGAAACTTGGGCTACCGGAAACCTCCATCAATATATAATTTCTCTCGTTCAGCTTTGTGACTTCTAATAGTATTAATTGTTCTGGCGAGAATGTTCACAACCTGCTGGTTCGCAAGTTTATACTAAAACATGGGGAAAAGCACAATACTGGATATCAGCGTATCCCAATGCCTGAGATAACTGTTCCTAACTTGTACTTCTGAACTTTTTATAATTGGCATTCAATCGGATGTCGTTCGTTTCTCGAAGGAGACAAAAAAGAGGTATCATAATGGATTGGTTTGCGCTTCAGGTCAGATAGCACTGTGTCACACGATCTGCTGTCAGTTAATATTTTATTTGAAGATCTTGGAAGAAAGGAAAATATTCAACTATTCGGAAACTGAGTATGAAGGTGTCATTACAGAAGATTTAAAGGAAGAACATTCTTCACTATAGCGGTTAATTAATCAAAACGCCAGAAACAGTGTCTAAATTTTCATTTCCCTGAGTGTATAAAGTAAAACTTTAAAACAAGCAATAAAGGTTAATAAAGCAGGATTTAATGAATTCATGAAATTTCGGTAGAACTCGTCAGCTGAATACTCTACATACACGGATAAATATATACTTTTGAAATTATAAATAACAAGTCATTTTTGAATTTTAAAATTTAAACTCAGTGCCATGATTACATAATCTGTGTGTGTGCTGATGATTCCAAATGGATTTGAACTTCTCATGTAGTAATTAAAAGCTGGTATCCTTCCTGCATTCTGAGAGTATTTTTTAATTTTTTTTAACAAACTCTTTGATCAACATAGTTACTGTTACATGATTTGATTACATCTGAAAGTGTAATACTGCCATTCTACTTCTCATTCTTTGGATTTCTTATGTTTCCATACATTTGAAAGTATTTTAGTTATGTAGAAACGGTGGTTACTCGGGTTACAGTTTACCCGAATAACAATTCATTTCACTTATTAAGTAATTATGTATTCCGTTTTTTAAAAAATTTCTACCGTTATAATTATTATCGTTACTAAAGTTTTTCGGACCCACTGATCTTAACTGCCTTCCTTATGCTTACTCGTATCGCATTACGTAGTCTTTTTTCTTGTATGTTGCTGAGCCGTTGGTATTTTTGTTGGTGAGTCAATTAACAAAACTTCTCGAATATCCTTCTAAACCTATGATAAATAACCATCATTTTTACAACTGATTATTCCATCACAGTTCATCCATTGTTGTTTCCCTAAATTACTATCTTCATGCCAAACTCATCCCTATAGAAAGAGTGTCCTTATTTTGTTAACTGCTATTACTATTATCATTCCTTTAAATTTCAAGTAAAACACAGGGCTTCAATAGTATATCTCCATTTTCTTTTGTTCTCTGCAACCCCACAATTGCTCATTAGTTTTGATCTCCTACATGTCACCCTTGAACGTTTAACTCGTTGGTCTCCACTCGAGGGTATGCCTAGAACGCGATATCGCCGACGGTCTCCTTCACGTGTGTCCGATACATCTCGATTCCCTTCAGCTTATTTGTTGAGCAATAGGTTCTTCATTGATTCATTCCAAGAATTCCTTCTTGCTAATTGTTTCTGGTCATTTGATCTTCAGTATGGAACCAAGGCAGTTGTTCATAAAAGTCTATAACAGCCTGTTAGAAATGCTTTCCGTGACGCGCCAAGTTTCTGACTTGTATAGAAGTAGTGACTTAGTATTGGTTTTGAAAATTCGATAAAAATATTTTGTTCATACTATGTGTGTTTTAGGAAGTCTCCAGTTGAAGAGAAGCCTCGAAATTAAATGTTCGCATTTTATACTGCAAATTTTGTTCTTCTTGCTCCGATGAAAAGTGTTTCTCAGTGTAATCTCAACACTACGCAACATTTTGTTATTTAGGCTTATATATTCGATTGGTATAACTTTGAACTGAAAAATATCAGGTGTCAGGCGATAAATCAGTCTGAGGATAGAAGTTTTTAGCTGTTGTCTTGTGTATGCGGTTTTACCAGAATAACGATTTCAAGGCTATTTAGATCAAAAATTATGTCTGTCATTATTGAAATTCGAAAGTTCAACAGTCATTCTGCCACTATTTTTCATGAAGGTATACAGTGCCAGTGCAAAAGTCTAGTACCGTTGGACTACATATCAATTGAATATAATTCACGCCCTAGTCATTTAGCGCTCTAACCAGCCTAACAGAATACTTCCTAAATGAGAGTGTCAATGGACGTGAACATTGAACGTTTGTTTTTGGAACTGGTATCCATTGGTGGGCAACTCGAAGGCGCGAATGGTTTGATCGTGTACAAGTTCGACGAAGACGAACAAAAACGAATAAAACTACATAATAAATTTGTGTAAAACGTTTGTTTGTAGACTTTTACTGTTCTCCAAATTAATTGCCAAACAATATAACTTCTTTCTCACAATACTGGTGTTTTAGAGTTAAAGTCGAAGAAGGTACATGGTATTTATCGGTTCGGAGCGTCTTCGTAACAATATATATATATATACATACATATATAAAGTTCAATTCTATGACACTTCGTAGATAGAAGACGTTCCATTGAGACAGAATAGGCTATAGGGCCATTTACCACCTTTCTTACGTTATCACACATAGCTGAAGCTTCTCCAATAAGATCAGTCAAACCGGAATGCCTTATTCAGACTTTATTCCTAATGTGACAATATTGTTACGGACTTTGTTTTATCGAGTGTTAAGCAATAACTGTAGTTCCTTTGATTTCTAGTAAGTTAGGAGAATATATTTGGCACAGAAGGTGATAAGGTGTTTTTAATTCGCAGAACTGAATTTTTGAAAAATCCAGTAATCAGATTAGTAGTTACTGAGAGTTCCTCTTTCATTTCAGATAACGGTTTTGACATAAGCATGTATTTCAACTTCTAAGGTAAATACAACCCCCTTAAAGACGACAGAAGATTCGTTTAAATCTCTGTAGTTTTTCAGTTACATACCAAATTCTCAAACATACCAAATTGGTTGAAAAATATAGTCAGTTCAATGGCATTTTGTAATTCCCTGATACATTTATTTTCCGAAATTTAATTGTATACACCAATACCCTACAACTGCTTGATGTAATAATGGAGGCATCCCAATTTGATTATAAATGAGGGAGTGTTCGGTGCGAAATGTCAAGATGTTGGTTCGTTTTGGTCTACTACTATTACAGAATTTCGGTGGGTGGAGCGTGACTGATAGCATTTAATATGAAACTATTTGTGGGAGATACAATAGTAGGGTGCCTGATGCTGTGACAGTATTTAGCTGTACCATAGAAATAAATAAAACCATGACCGAAATGAACTTTGGATAACCAAGGGGACAAGCTAAAATCACTGGGATTCCTAAATTTTATCTCCATTAAAATGCGTCGCGTTTACTCTGTTTCATATTGTTTTGATTATCTAATCGCTTCGATGGATCACATTTCATACTCGCGATTTATTTCATGTAAGTTTCTACGTACCACTATGAATTTTTCAAAGGAAATAGA